AGAAGAAAGGCCTAAGGGTGAGCTGCATTGCTACCAAAGATGAGGTCTGAGGGCACCCGAGAACCATGTCTATGTGACCAGCTTTTTGCCCAAGCTCCAGCCTCTAGCCCTCATAGGATTCTGGGAGCCATTTAATAAGCTCTAACACATTCCAGCTTCTTCCTTAAAGGACCAGGTTTGATTTTTATTTGCTGTTAAGAACCCCATATAGCATAAACTATAACTTTGTCCCTAATTTACGTAAATGATTCTCTTGAGCCTAGAAACTCTGGGTTAAATAACTGATCTGGTACCGGGCTGGGCTGTTGTCGGGAAGAGCGAGCAGAGCTTGGCTTGCCCCTTCCTTCTGCATCACCTACTAAGTAACATCCGACATGTCTGAGACCTAAAAACCACTAGTGAGCCCACGAGGCCGTGTGAGATAATTATAACGACATTCTCTGGGTTTGGCTTGTGGTTTTCCTCTTATAATCAAATGTCAGGCGCTGCGGAGGAAAGCTTAGTCGTGTGTTGCCACGGATGTTTTTAACCAAGAGTCTAAGGCTGTTTGATATTTTTGGCATCATAATTCCCATTTCCAGTCCTGATTTGGGAATAAAGCAAGACTGAAGTCCAAGTGAAAAAGACTTCCTACGCTACAAAACAGCCTGGAGTTTCAAGGTAAAAAGTTAGGGTAGGCACCGAGGCCCCTCTCTGCCCTGCGGTCTTCCTGGTCTCCTTTTGCGCTGTCTCAGTTTTGTTCTTTGTGTTCATGTGGCAAGCTGGACTGTCTTGCTTTTCTCTCTCCACTGGATTTTAAAGTTTTTATTAAATATTTAGCACAGCCCCCTCTTAACGTTATCATTCATCGTGTGCGCACACAGGTGCGCGTGTGAGGCTGCACGTGTGTGGACTCGGGGGACAACGGGCAGAGCTAATTCCTTCCTTCCGCCTGTGGGTCCCGGGGACTGAAGTCGGGCTGTCAGGTGTGGAGGTGCCTGTTCACCCACTGAGCCACCTTCTTGCCCAGTTTTGGTTTTCTGGCTTCTTACTTTACTCTCAGAATCTGCTACCGGAAAGCACTCGAGGTGTCCCTGCCTTGTCCTAAGATGTCCTAGGAAGGCAGGGCAGTATTTTTAGTGTTTCCTCCCTGCATTGCATGATGTGGGGCTTAATAGAGAAAGGTCCCCACAGCTGTGGCAAGAGGGAACCTAGGTACTTTGTTCCACATTCAACTTTGAAAATTTCCAAATGTGAGCGAGCACTCAAGACATATGAGGGCCCTGCACGCAGCCTTCTGCATCCATAGATACAGCTAATTTGGGGGGGGACTTTTTTAATTTGCCTTCCTTTAATATGCAGATTTCTTCTTATCACTACTCCTTAAACAATTCATTACAGCAACAATTTACATAATGTTTATATGGAATTGATTTTCACAAGTAATCTGAAGATCATTACAGGTTCACAGGGAAGGAAGGGGTTATGTGCAAACATTAAACCGTTTTCTATAATGGACTCGTGAGTCTGCGGTTCCCGGGGCGTGAGAGGTCCAGGACCAGCCCCACAGCCCTCTGTGAATAGCTGTGTTTGGCTTTCCGTGAGCCAACTCTGCAGCATGGGTGCAGCAGGTAGTTCAGCGGCAGAGCACCAGCAGAGCACGTGCAAGGCAGAGCACCAGCAGAGCACGCGCAAGGCCCTGGGTTCAAGCTCTGACACTCAATCAAAAGGAAAATCTCTGGGAATAAAAACCTCTAATATTACGCTCTTTATCAAAGAACAAGCATAAATAGTTTTATTCTTTCGGGTATTTTAAAGTCTCCTAAGCAATTTCTGGTTAAGTCTGGTTAGTTACAGTTTGTTTTCCAACCCAGAAACATCACGGCCTTTCAAGTGTGAACTCCTGCAGCTTCTTTGTGCAGACATTACTGGCTCTTGGTTTTCATAAAACCCAGAAGGATCTTGCTTTCAGCTAGCCTATTAGACATCTAAGAGTAGCCTGGAGTCTGACCCTGCCTTAGTTTACACCGTGTGGCCCCAGACCCAGGCTGACCTTCAGGTGTCCAGGTCCTGAATAGCCTTGGTGACCAAGGAAGGGCTAGGCCAAAGCTGCTGAAGGCAAGACAGTGTCCAGTGAGGTCCCAGCAAGTCACAGCACAGCCAGAGGAAAGCCCCTCTTCCTGCCTGCTTCCTATTGGCCCTCCCGTCCCCCTTCCATTCGCATTTCCTAGCGCAGAGCATGTGTGTAATTGATGATGCTGGACAAATACAGGAACAAATTACTAGTGCTATTTCTCAAGACTCAAATACCCTAGAAGACATGGCATTTAGCTGTAAAGTTTATCTTTCCAAAGGGAACTTGATCTCCAAATGCTAGGTGTACAGGGACACTTTCACAGACCCCTCCACCCACCAGACACACTGTGGAAGATGTCTGTCCTACCTACAGAGTGACAGCTTGCTTTTATTTATAGCACTCGAAACCCTCCAAAGTTCCTTTTCTTACTTGATCTCATTTGTGTCTCAAGAAAAGAGAACAAGTTTGATTCCAATTTTACCAGTGAGGAAACTGAATCATGTCCTTCCCAGATCCCCAGGATATGAACTGTGGACTGTGGCTGTGTTTGAGATGGGGCCTAAAAAGAAGTAATTACATTAAAATGGGGTCACTGAGGTGAGCTCTAATCCAGCCTGACTGCGTCTTTATAAAGAGAGATTAGGGTACAAATACAAACACCCAGGCAAGATCACGTGGACACACAGCAAGAGATGCCTGCAAAGATAAGAGGGACCAGGGAAGAAGCCAACCCCTCCCCACACTTTGTCCAGCACTTTTGGCTTCCAGTACGGAAGAAAAACTATCTTGTAAGCCACCTGCTCCTTGACACTTTGTATGGCTGCCATTGCAGAGTAATAGAGTCTCCCACATCCCAGACTTAGCAAGAGCCAGAGTGAACTTCAGTCCCCAAGCCTTGCATTTCGTAAATCCTTTGTGGAATAAAATATTTTGCATATGGGAACCAATTCTGTTGCATAGTTGGCCATGCACAGCCCGTCTCTGACTGCCTGCCTGCCATGTTGTTCAAATAGTTTTTATAGCAAATTGTCTCCAGGCATTAGGGGATGGTAATCCATGGCTCTCTGCCCTATTCCACTGTCCATCCTGTTTGTCCAGTATCCAGCCTCAGTCTCAGTACCAGGAAGAGAATGACAATGATTCTGAGAAAACAAACAAACAAACAAACTGACACCGTCCCTTTGGCTGGCGCATTGACCTCCTCAGGTACTTGAACTGTACTCCCTCTCAACCCAGCCGGGGCCAGCTCCTGGCTCTGCTGTTGATCTGTCCACCGCCTCCTGGTGACTCCTGGTCCTCTGCTTTGCATGGGAACACGGAACTGAAACTCTGGGGTGAGCAGGGTTTTGCATGACGAACCCATTTCCCCCTTCCCTCTTTGCCTTTGGTTGGAGGCTCTCAGGCTCCAACCTGGGCTTAACCTCCGGAGGAATGTTCTCAAATCACAAAGAACAGCCTTTCTCTGTCACAGAACTGGCCCCACAATGGGTGGCCTCGGAGCCCCTGCACCCTGCCTCATCACTTCCTCTGCCTGCAGGGCTGTAACTACATTTGTCCCTCCTGGAAGTGGGGTGGGGGAGGGGGTTGAGGCTGACTTTCCCAGAAGGCAGACTTGTCACTATGTGGCTAAGATAGTAACTGTTGAAAGTGACAGTGACATAGTCCATACTCACAGGCTCGGCAGCACTCTCCCTTTGTGGGTTCTGGAGCCAGTCTCTGCCTAAGGTCTACCACGCATAAGGACATTCCATCCTGCCTGGCTCCGAGTCCAAAACCTAAGGGTTCTTAGAGCACACATCCTGGCGCATAGATTTAGATAATGGATTGGACTGATGAAAAGTCTGGGTTGCCATTTTCTTATTAACATCTTTGTAGCTTCCAGGAAGGTCATTAGATTCCTATCAACACACATACACTTGGCAATAGTCCCAATATACCAATAAAACCCAATTTCTGATCTGTGCTCTCCATGCCAAGTGGTGGAGCTGGATCCTGGTCTGGACTATGGCATGGTGACTCTGGAATTGTGGGAATCTTAGACATGTTCTATTGGGGCTGCAAGGCGCAGCTCCCCATCCCCGTGTTTGCAACACCACACTTCATGAAGCACCACAGTGAGTGAGGTACAGAGATGCCCAGCTTAACGATTCCCCAGAGGACAGCTCAGCTCTGGCTCCCGCCCAACACAGCAGAGTACTTGTGTGTTCCACTTGCTGCAAGGGAGGTGATGGTGGAACTGGCCTTCCCAGGGTCTTGGCAAAGTGTGCTCCGAAATTGCGCTACCAGGAGTGAGCTACCCTTGGACCCCCATCCCACCGAACTGATCATCAAAGCTCCAGGAATGTTTCCAGCTATCCACGATGGAAAATAGCTTCCTGGGGAAGCGTCCCCCAGATTTCAAGCCGGAAATGAATCCGGAAGAGAGGGAGCAACCCAGGGCTGCTTTCCTTCTGTTCAGGGCACCCCACGGGGTGCCGAAGGGAGGCCAGCGGTCACCCGCGGACAGATCTGCTCCTGAAGTCCTCCGAGCCAGGTGAAGTGTGGGATCCTGAAGGAAAAAGGAGGGCGGGGCAGCACGTCACCCCTCACCCCCGGGATCAAAGTTGGGGGCAGAGAGGGGGTGGTGGGCTAGCTGGCGGCTCCAAAGGGGACCTGCGCTGCTCGGGTGGCACCTTGCACCTTTCAAAGGCCAGCGGAGACACGGGGACACAGGGATGAGCTCTCTGCAGCGAGGGCGCGGCTCCTCCCCGCCCTGGGCTGCTCCGCACTCCCTCTCTGCTGTCCTTTGATCCGCAGCCCTTTCGAGGAAGCCAGAGGAGAGGCGCCCAGCTCCCCACTAGCTGGAAGGGTTTCTTTGAAAGGGAATGAGGAGCCTGTTGGCTTAATAGGAAGCTGTCCACCCCAGACAACGTTGGGTTTCACTTCTCACTTTCCCCCACCGAAGGCAAGGAGCGGGCCCTTTGCGAGGAAGCGTCCTTCTTTAGGGGCCGCATTCGCAGGGGGCCGGGTGGATGGGCATCCTTCAGTCACCGCCTCAGGTGGTCACCGCCTCAGGCGGCTGTGTTAGGGGTGAGAATGGAGAGCCTGTCCACAGAGCGCAGTTCTTCCTCAGGCATAGCGTGAGAAGTCAACACTTGCCACCTTGATCTGTTCCCTCACATTGTCTGTTTATGAATCCTTTGCAGACCACACCTGGCTCTCCAGGCTGGTTCTGCCGGTTGTAACACGACATTAAAACAACTGTTTTCCCTCTGTGCTTACAGACTGTTTGATTGTTCCCGTCCAGAGCTCTTCCTGGACAGAAGACGGCTGTGTATAGTTTAGATGCGTAAAACAAACAAACAAACATGAAGTAAAGCCCTTTAATAACACCATCCAGATTCAACTCAAACTAGCTTCCCAGGTTTTGGAAAGCCAGCAACTCTGTTTAATATCCCAAAAGAATGCTTTCTGAAATTAGGAAATGACAGAGAGCTGGTCTTGGAAGAGGAAGCTTGGGAAGAGGGTCTGGCTAGTGCCAGGCAGGAAGGCAACAGCACAGCAGTTTAGGCGTGCAAGCATGTTGCCCCTTCTTCCAAATGTCCACCTCTACCCCCCACTCCCCACCCAACCCGTAGAGTAGGAAATCCAGTTCTCAAAGGTTGTGATGCTCTCCATGCTTTCTGGGTCAGTGTGGACAGTAGTGAAGCCACACACCTGGGGGCTGCAGGAAGAAGACTCCGTAGGGGTTGTGTCACCTGACTCTGGAAGGCTCACGTTTCAGACTTGCAGGTTGGAAGGACTGAAGGTCAGATTTCTCCGTGTTGGGCGGTGACTTTCCGCTGCCACCTAGAGGCGCTCAGCCTGCACTTCGCTCTCAGAGAAACCCGAAGGCGCTCCCAGCTTTATCGGTCTCCTCTTCTGTTTAAACTGTGTTTTTTAAGAGGCCATCTTAAGGGTTCAGCGAGTGAGGGTGCTTGCCGCCAAGCTGGCAGCCGGACGTTGAGGTCTGGAGCCATATGGCAGGAGAGATTCCACTCCCTCAAGCAGCCTCCTGGTTTCCACATACTCGAAATGCCAACTCCGTGTCTTCTGTGTCTTGCTTTCTGAACTGTTGGAAGAGAAAGCGGAGACAGTGGGTGCATGGTCCATCGTGCTATCCGCCTCACTGCTGCCTTCCATCTCTAGAACCTCGAGCTGCCCTCCCGCCTCTGAGAGCCATGCTCCACGCTGGTCCTCTGAGCCCCGAGTCCACAAGAGCTCACACTCAGGCAGCACCAGTGACGGGGTCTCGGAGCCTTACGCTCTTGTCTCTTTCATGTGGGACAGTAATGATTCCCAGATCTTTCCTCGGAAGCTATCTCTTTTGCACACAAGAATAAACGAGGCTTTCAAAGGTCAAATGATGGAACCAGGACTTATGCTAAGGTAGATTCTAGGACATACGTTCTTGGTCAGGTGGCCAAGAATTGCAAGTTCATATTGCAAGTTCAAACTGCACTCCACCAGTGGATCTTCAATGAACCTATCTAATTTTTCAGGTGATCCAATTACTTAAGAGTCTAGGCTTGGGCTAGTGCTGCTGCTCAGTGGTAGAACTCAGAGTTAGTATGTCTAAGGCCCTGGATTTGATCCTCACCACTGGAAAAATAAAAATTAAAAAAAAAAAACATTAAAAATGGGGCTGGATGCAGCTGAAGGTGCGCAGAAATGTTTGCCATGCGAGGGTGAGGACCCGAGTGTGAATGCCGAGAACGCACATAAGCTGGATGTGTGCTGCTAGTGCTGTAAGCCCAGCACATCTACAGAGGAGGATGGTGGAGACGGGCGCCGTGGACACTCAAGAAGCAGGTAGCTTGACATATGCAATGGAGAAGCAGCGGAGACCCTGTCTCAGAGAAGATGGAAGGTGAGTGCTGACATCTCAGGCTGACCTCCACATACTCTGTGGCACTTTTATGCCAGCACACACACACACACACACCTTGCTTGATCCAGGCTTGTCACCACACATAATTATTTACAAGTATGGTCTCCCACCATAACACAAACAAAACATAACACTGTGAGGGTATTGCCATTTTTGCTGGTTTCCCACCATAACCAGATGGCAAGACCCAGATCCTCAAGAAACACTATATTTTAGTTGCAAGACATTCGGAAATAAAGCTGAAACAGAGTTGGACACCTCTTCCCTGTTGGCTAGCTTTCACAGAGTTTAAAAGTGCTATGTGGGCCATTGGGCCAGGGAAGTCATCAACGAACTTGCCCAGAGGTAGAACCTGTGCACTGTGACGCTGACATGCCAGGCAGCCTGTGTCCACAGGTGCAACAGTGGCGTGGTTGTGGGGATGAGCAACCACCTTCTGATTGGACTTGAGGGCTGCTTTACAGGAGGACATTCATGCCTGCTACCAGAAACCTGGCCAAAATCCCGTGGCTGGAATTTTGCTCATAAACCATACCATAGGACCCTGCTACATTGTTGATTTACTAAACAAATATGCTGTCAAACTACCTTGTAAGTATTTATGCTTATACCCATTGATTGGCGTTGCTCTCAGCTTTGACCAGGGAAGCTTCTCTCTGAAGTGGGCAGCAGTCAATGCAGAGACTCAAAACCAGTCAAAATGTTGAGAATAAATGACTGTTGAGTGCTGAGCCTGAATGGGATGGTATGTCACCTCCACAAGACTTGAAGAACATCAAGGAGAGGGGAACAGATGAATATAAGACCTAGAGGGCAGCGGGGCGTGCTGTGTTCTGGAAGGGACATAGTGATCCTACTAGCAGCAGCTACGGTCACTGCTTTAAAATCTACATAAGCTCAAGCCAGCCAGTCACTCCAGCATGGGTAGGGGCTGGGTTCATGAGTCTCCATGCCCAGTCTTTGTGTGTGTGTGTGTAGTTATTAAGGAATAAAAACACCTTGGCTTGGCTGAGAGATTGCTTGGCAGTTAGGAGCATTTGCTGCTTTCCAGAGTGTGCAGATTCCCTGCACTCATACTGGTGGCTCAAAACCACCTATAACTCCAGTTCCAAGGGTCTGATGCTTTCTTCTGGCTTCCATGGACATCTGCACGTGTCAAACACTCACAGATCAACACACACGCAGACAATGTTTCACGAATCTTAAAAACAGTACAAAACACCCTGTGATACCCAGGCTTGCTGCAAATTTCATAATGCCTAAGATGTCTCAGCACCAAAGCAAAAGCTGGGCGTGAGTTACACATGGGACATAAGCACATATTCTGACAAACAAAACATTTTGGTTAGGACTTCCCAGCAATGGGCCAGTTAATGGCAACTGGTGTAATGGAAGGAGCAAGCCAAGTCCAGCATCAAACACTGAGCCCCTTGAATGCAGTCAGCCCCATTAGTGAACAATGGATAACTCTTCTTCTGACACCCCCAACACTGAAATAAACACTGTAGCATCAGAACACACTCCTAGTTAGAGATTTTCAAGCATGGCAGAGCCATCTCCTATTTGGCAGGAAGGAAACCCTTTAGCTCCACAGTGTCCTTTTTTTAGTTTCTTCTTTTCTTTTTTTTTTTTTTTAAAGGATTTTTTTATTTTTTAATTATTTTTGTTTTTATTAATTACAGTTTATTCACTTTGTATCTCCCCTGTAACTCCCTCCCTCCTCCCTCTCAACCTCACCCTTCCTCCCTCTTCCCCATGCATATCCCTCCCCCAGTCCATTGATAAGGGAAGTCCTCCTCCCCTTCCTTCTGATCCTAGTCTATCAGGTCTCATCAGGAGTGGCTGCATTGTCATCTTCTGTGGCCTGGTAAGGCTGCTCCCTGCTCAGGGGGAGGTGATCATAGAGCAGGCCAATCAGTTCATGTCAGAGACAGTCCCTGTCCCCATTACTATGGAACCCACCTGGACACTGAACTGCCATAGACTACCTCTGTGCAGGGGTTCCAGGCCATCTCCATGAGTGGTCCTTGGCTGGAGCATCAGTCTCAGAAAAGACCCCTGTGCTCAGACTTTTTGGATCTGTTGTTCTCCTTTTGGAGCTCCTGTCCTCTCCAGGTCTTACTATTTCCCACTTCTTTCATAAGATTCCCTGCACTCTGCCCAAAGTTTGGCTATGAGGCTCAGGAGCTGCCGCAATACCTTGCAGGGTAGAGCCTTTCAGAGGTCCTCTGTGGTAGGCGCCTGTCCTGTTCCCTGTTTTCTCCTTACTCCAATATCCATCCTCTTTGCCTTTCTTAAAGCCACTTGAGGTTACAAAGAGCTCTGTTACTGCCCTTGCCTCAGCAGGCTGGTCTCTGAGGTCACTTTACATTCTTCTTCACTTAAGGGAAGTGCATTTCCCCAGAGAGGGCTACAGGAATGGCTGGAATTAACATCTCTAAGAAGCATGGGCTCCTGGGAATTTTATGCTCACATCTCTTGAGGTTGCTTAAAGACATTCTCCAATTTCCCCTCTTCACAGGACAATTAGACAGTAATTGGTTACATCCATAATTTATTTTCTAGTTTCTACTTAAATTTCTTTATACCTTTTATGCAACTTTCATAAACATTTGACTCATACCAACTAGTTGGATAAGAAGAAACATCAACAATTGTGTCACCAACTATACTTGGCACTGAAATCCTAGGTCCGAATGGGCAATCTTTAATTCTTTATTGGCATGCATTAATGATATCTAGTAATGGGCTCTGTTGTGATGTATTCATACATGTACCTAATGCATTTCAACTGGGTTTATGAAGGTTCTTGCCCCTCTTCTACTCTACTTCCACAGGACGCCCTCCTCCTAAACATGTGCCTTTGTGTCACCTGGTGAGTTTCACCTGGGGTCTCTCACACAGGAGCAGGGTGCCGTACCAGAGGCTGCATCACACTCACACACACACACACACACACACACACACACACACACACACACACACGAGCACACACGCACACGCATGCGTGCGCGCGCACACATACACACACACGCACACACATGCACACACAGTCTCCTCCTCTCCTGTCAAACATTAACTGTGTGAACTCTCAGGGAGGCTGTGGCTCCTTGAGCCCCTCCTTCCATGACAAACTGTTGGCAGGCCCAGCCTTGTGCAGGTCTTCCCTGTAAAGGCACTTTGTTTATAATAGGTAATGGAATTTAAAACTAAG